GGAGGAGGAGGAAAGGAGGAGGAGGGGGAGGAGGAGGGGGAGGAGGAGGAGGATGGGGAGCGTCCGCCTCGCCGTCGCACATCCCCTTCCTCCTCCACCTCCTCCTCCTCCTTCTTCTCCTCCTCCTCGCTCGGCGGCGCCGTGGCTTCTGCGCCGTCGTGCGGGAGTAAATCAGGCACGCCAGTACCTGGCCTCCAGCTACCGTGCTGCGCCTGCTGCCCCCGCCTCTGCTACCCACCGCTTGCCCGACGCGCCGCGGACCTTTGGCGCGCGAGGGCCTAGACCAGGCCAGCGTCTTCCGACACCGCTCGAGGACGAGAAGAAAAGGCGCCCAGATGTCACCGCGGCCTCCTCTGGAACGGACCTGCAGCGAGGATCCACTCCAGAGCGAGGACCCCGCCCCGGAGGAGCTGAGCCCACAAGTTGCAGTCGGATCGGAATTGAAGTTCGAACAGCTTCCCCGAAACGGAGACCGAACGAGAATTTGAGTTGGCGACAGCAGCAGAACCAGAGCTCTAATCAGACTCGGCACTGACACCGAGATCGGGACCTGTCCGCTCGGGATCTAATCATCCTTAGAATCGGAATTGGAGCTGCAACCGGAATCGGAATCAGAATCTAAACCAGATTTGGAGCCAGTTGGAAGTGGAGCCAGAGGAGGAGGCAGAGCTTGAATCCCTGAGGGGGGCAGGGACGCGGGTGGAAGAGTTGGCAGAAATATGGAGGAGTGCAGTGGCGCGGGGGTCAGAGGGATAGGAGGTGTTCGATTCAGGGTGGGAGGAGCGCGAAGGATGCTGGAGGAGGCAAGAAGATGGGGGAGCGGTGTGGACGCGAATGAGATTGGGAGGATTGGATTCGGGAGAGGCGCGGAAGAGCGCAAAGGAAGGCGAAGAGGCAGGGAGAGGATGAGAAATTCTTGACGCTTCGCGTGCCCCCGCCAGCTCAGCTCGGCGACTGCGAATCCGCCTCCGCCCGCACCAAAAAAAGTATCCCCGCCAGCTCTTCCTTCGTTTCCCTGGGCGGGTTATCCCAGACGACAAGCGGAGGTTCCATCCGGGTCGTCGAGTCTACCCAACCAACGGCTTCTTGGTCAAGCATGACAGGGTCGACGGGCCACTGCATCGCACCTGTGCTGTAGCGCCACTGCCAGCCAAGCCAGGGGCGCCTCACTATCGCGTCGACACCGCGCCCATTGCGACCCAGCACGAAAAGGTTAAAACCGCCCTGTCGAACATGTACCACTCCAACGTACACCGGGACGATCTATGGGGGACCACGCTTCCTGTGTTGCCTTACATGCTGGCCTTTGGGACAAACGACAACGGGAAGAAACAAAATTCCAACGACATCTACGGGAGCGCACTGCGCGGACACTTTCTGCGTTTCCGAAGTCGTGCAACGCTCGGGGGCCCGCTGCTTGATCCTGACCAATCACGGACACCGAAATAGACGAACACCCAGGCTCGGTGTGGTAGTGTGCCAACAACGTGCCCGTTGAGGACACCATCGAAGGGGTCATTGCAGCACACGACTTCAATGACGACCATACGCAGGCACTCCGCTCATCCGTCAAACACCTCGTCACGGCGGTACAAGGCCCATCAGGTACAGGGAAAACACGTTTCGCAGCCGCACTGGCAAGATTCTGGGCACATGCCGCGGGACTTGGTTCCACCGTTTTCGCCGTCGCCGCCTCGTCAATTTTCCGCAATACCCGAGCTGCGCTGTACGACTAGCAGGGGACGAACGCATCACACATCCGGACGCTTACAAGTTGTCAGCCACCAGCCACTACCGACGTGCATGGAACACCGAGCCCAACAAGTCCAACAATAATCAGGGCTGGCGGAAGTCCAGAAGACGACTTCAGCAGCAAATGCAGCATCACCATTGCGACCCACGAAGGTTCCTGCAGGCTCGACCAGCCCAACGCACCCAAGGTGATCCTGGTTATCATCAACGAGGTCGGCCAGGTCAACGAGGTCTCTGTCTGCTGCCATCTCCATCGGCATCATGGTCGACCTGCGGCGCTCACATTGTGGTGGGCGATCCCGAGCAGCTCCCGCCCACAGTACAGTCCCAGTACGCAGAATACCTGGAGCTACAAGTGCCCTTTTTCGGGAAAGTTCAAGACTCCCTGGGCGAGGACCGTCCTGCCACGGCACTACTCACATAGTGCTTCAGATGCCACCCCGACGCCCTTGGTTTTTCCAGGTTCGCTGATTACGACAAGAAGATCGAATCAGGCCTCGCTACACCACTACAAGACCGCCCCAGTGTCAACGGGCTTCCTTGGGTCACGCACCGACCGCTGGACACCGAGCGACTGGAGACCGTCGCCAAAGAGCTAGGAGAAGACGTGGACGAATTCAGGCACGGGATCTGCGACTTACACACCGAGGGGATGACGTCTGGAGACGTCCACCGCGTGCTCATGATTGACAATCCACATGCTGACATCACCTCCAATGCCAAGAGCGGCTACGACAACATCCACGAGGCTGCCCTTTGCCTCGAAGTAGTGCGCGCTTCTTCCCGCCATGCGTGACACTGGACTAACTGTCAAGGTGATTGCCCCCTACGCGGCGCAGCGGACCGCCCTGTGCGGCGGGGGGCCACAGGGCAAGAGTGGCTTCTGGAAGAACGCCGCGCTGGCTGAATCGGAGCAGGGGAAGAAAAGCCAATGCACTGCAGCGGCTTCTGTGCCAAATCCACCCGGTCAGTCACCCACTCCCTCTTCCCAAGTTGATTCCCAACCACGCGCGGTTAGCGCGCGCACCCGCTCTGCTCCTCCTGCCCGCGCCTCTGGCCCGGGCGCTGACTGCCCGCTCGACGGTCCCCTTGCAGCCGACAATGGGCTGGCACTTTCATTCGGGGGATTGGCCGAAACGTTCCCTGACCTGATGGGAGCTGGCCAGCTCTCTCTCTCTCTCTCTCTCTCTCTGTCTCTCTGTCTCTCTCTGTCTCTCTCTGTCTCTCTCTCTCTCTCTCTCTCTCTGTCTCTCTCTGTCTCTCTCTGTCTCTCTCTGTCTCTCTCTCTCTCTCTGTCTCTCTCTCTCTCTCTGTCTCTCTCTCTCTCTCTCTCTCTCTCTCTCTCTCTCTTTTATTTTATTGTCTCTCTCTCTCTCTCTCTCTCTCTCTCTCTCTCTCTCTCTCTCTCTCTCTCTCTCTCTCTCTCCTCTCTCTCCTCTCTCTCTCTCTCTCCTCTCTCTCTCTCTCTATCTCTCTCCTCTCTCCTCTCTCTCTCTCTCTCTCTCTCTTCTCCGCTCTCTCTTTGTTCTTTGTTTTTTCTTTCTCTCTATCTGTCTCTCTCTCTCTCTCTCTCTCTCTCTCTCTCTCTCTCTCTCTCTCTCTCTCTCTCTCTCTCTCTCTCTCTCTTCACTATTGACGCCAGTCAGGGAGGAGAAGCGGACTAGTCATCTACCTTACCACGCACTCTACCGGGCCCTACGACCGGGGTTTCCTCAACACGCCAAACAGGACCAACGTTGCCTTGACCGGAGCTAAGCGGTTCGTGGTCCTCATCGGTGACCGACGAATGTTCAAGTCTGCGGCTGAGTCTACTCTTCGAACCCTCGCCGAATGCGGGATGGCCGCAAACCTGGTGGGACCTGCCTCCACTGAGCCTTGGCAGGTGCGCAACAGGGGATGGAAGCCCTTGAGCCCACTAGCGCACTGGGCTGCAGCTGCTGAAATCGGCACCGCCATACCGGGCAGCAACCCAATCGCAGCAGCGCCGAGCGCTGCATCCGGCATCCAGAAGCAGAAGGTTAAAATGCGATGGGATCAGGCCAAAGGTCTCGCCCACAGCATCGACAGACCGCTACCGGAGGGGTTTAAATGGGAAGCCCTGGCAAAGCGAGTCAACAACTCGCTAAGGGCGCTCCTGGCCGCGCCCGCTCCCCCCCCTGCCCTCTTCCCTGCTTCTGGCCTTCGCCCGCGCGCCCTGAGCCCTGCGCGCCGCCCCAGCGACCCCAATCTCTGCGACGGGAAGACGTGGAGCCACACTGGGTTGATCAAGGATGTTACGGTCGGAATTGATGCCCGCAACCTGACGCGCAACATTCTCTGGGCGCGCCTGACTGCGCGCAGTCGGGCTGGGCCGCAAGCGGGGCGACGAGAGCACTTCGCTCGCGGTGGCCGACCTGCCTGAAAGACCAGAAGGCTGTCTACAGAAGCGCGCATCCAAGGACTGTCGAGGCTCGCCAGCTTGCATGGACAAACAGCTACCCACGGTGTGGAGCGCCACGGCGACACAGTGTCCAATGCGCCAACCTCATCCAGGGATGGACGGCCTGGAAAACATCATCCAAGGCGACTACATGCCAACTGGCGCCACCGCGCGTGCTCAGACCTGCACGGCACTCGCGATGATGATGCCAGCGCTTCGGGAACCAAGGACCTGTCTCTTCCCATTCTCCGAACAAGCAGGGGCAGGGGATATCGCGGAGGCCGTCCTGGGCACATGCAAACTTGGCAGCTCAACTGGCACCGCATCCGTTGCAAAAGACCTTCATTTCCGGGCGCAGTTTGGTCTGACGTGGAAGATTTCCAAGCACGACTACCAGAACCTGCATCGGAGATTCATTGGCGCGCTAAGACACGTGGGCGCGCTTATAAGCACCAGCCACCATCACGATGTCTCGAAACAAGCAGGGCGTCCGTCAACGCGGGAAGAATGCAAGCGTTCTGATTTTCACATCAAAGAGATCCTGCTGGTGATCGACCAGCTCATTGATCCGTTCCAGTTACCGCTGGCTCCAACCAACGACCAGCCTGACAACGAGACAACCAGCTGCACTACCTGCTGGCTTTACAAATCCATCACAGGGAATCACAGACATCTCGGGCGCACGCTGGACCAGAGGCTGCACTACGCTGGCGCAGGGCGAGCGATGGACCAAAAGGATTTTCTCAGACCTGAACCCCCCGCAGCGAAACCGGGCGCCACAACGACGCCGAAAAGGTTCCGAACAGGAGACGGGCGCTTCTCGGCGTCGCGGAACATTGCCAGCTTCTACTGCGACGACTGTCAGAAAGGCCCCTCCACAAACATCGAGGGCACCTGGGAGGACAACGATACGCGTCAACGTCTGGCAACAGCGAGGATTGCAGGGTGGCGCGAGGGACTCAACTGCCGTTGGCTGTGCACGGGGTGCTGGGTTGAGAGCCTCGAGAATCAAGGTGCCGACGCCCCCGCAGGAGACTCGATGCGCGAAAAGCTGGACAACCTACGGAATAGCATGCCCAGCAGGCCCAAAGCTTTCAGTCTGACACCGCCTGTGCACCTCCCAACCTGGCTCGCCAAAATCCCGAACCCAACCGCCTACTGCCTGCTACGCGACCTCCTTGTCACACCAGCGGACTCTGCCAACGACCCTAAGGTGACAGGCGCGCCAAATCCCCCAACACGACCTGACGACGACCGCTTCGGCACAGAGGGCCTCAAGTCTGGGATGTCCAGAGCCCAAGCTGCTATGCACCTGGAAACACGGGCAGCCAGCGGTCGGGTGCTTCATCTGGCGACCGACTCCTGGCATGGAGGACACAGAGCATTGCAACCTACCTCCCTGGGGCAATTGCATCGACTGCTGGGCGAATGGCGAATGGAACGCTGGATGGTACTGCGGGAACTGTCTTGCTCACATCTTCGACGCTGCTCCATCCGTCATCAACCGCATCCTTGCGCGCGACACGCCATCGATGCACCCGGTCTCCCCCGCAGCACGGACACCCAAGAAGAGGAAGGAGGACGCGGGTGGCCTCGCCCTCGCACTTGGCAAAGAAAGAGCGCAAGTACCGCGCGGCGACGACAGCGACGACGAGCGCGGGTCACCATCGGAGACGTCGCCATTACCTGAACCCAATCCAGAACGACTTGACGCAATCAAGAAAATGTTTCCGGACATCAGCATCCCGCAACTGCCAGACGTGGCCAACGCCGGACTCGACCTGTTCTTCCAAGCGTGGACCGACGACAACAGCGGCAACCAGGACACACGCCAGTTCAAATTTGCCTGCACCTCAGACGCATCAACTCAGTTGCCAACGACATCTTCTACGTGCTGGAGAACCAGTACGCGGTGCCAAGTACGCGGTGCCAGACAACGGGTTGGACGTCAACTGGCCCCACGTTCTGGCCTGCCCCGCCCTGGCCTGGACGTTTCCTCCGTCGAGGCTCACTACCGACGGATTGGTAGCAGGCACGGAATGGGATGGCAAAAGATGGGCCGCTGGACTGGTCGCACAACACATCATCGGGAAGGCCGATCGGCTAAAGAAATTGCGGGTGGCACGCGTCAACGAAGCCATTCACGGGGACAAAGACCCGAGGGTCCATAGCACAGACGAACACGCTCACTGGCTGGCCAGACTTGGCATCGAGGGCGCCCCCGACCATGTGATACGTCTGGACAACGTTAACTTGGGAACACTGGACACATGCATGCGCCCACGTGGGATTGGATCTCGACCAATCGTCGCAAGCCGTACCGCAGCACCGGACAACGTGTCTTTTCAGCAGCTCATGGGGCGAATGGCCAGGTTGGCTGGTAACGCCAAGGAAAACATCTCGGCCCTGTGCGACCCAGGCTCCCAACGAATGCGCGACGAGGAGAAGAGTCTGGAGCTCTTGGTCGGCGTGGTCATGAACGCCTCTTTCGGGAGGCAACGTTTCCCTGCCCATCCTGGCACGGACTTCAGCGGGCAGCCACTGCCACGACCTGAAGGTTCACGAACAGCGACAAGAGAGATCAGGAGCAGCTCAGGAAGCGAGCCTGCTGCCGCCACGGATGAACCCAGGGACCCGGACGGCGATCTCACGGACTACGACCCAAGCAAGGCCAGCGAGGAGCCTGAAGCGGATGAAGCGGACGAGGCAGAAGAGCCTGAAGGAAGCCCAGCTGCAGGGTAGGGTCACAACGCCGGGACTGCTGATGATGAAACGTCCAGCGCCACAGACGGTAGACCCCCGCTGCCGAGGAGGCGCGATCCGCCAGACGGGGTTCCACCAGAACGGCACGTGCGAGGCAGGGAACAGAGCGGCAGACGGGAACGACGAGACGCTACCATTTAGCACACCGCTGATGACAGGACTGGTTCCTCGCGCGGACACAAGGACCAGTGGAGTTACGACAGGCCCTTGGACCGCCAGGCCACGCAGTCTCGCGGCGACGCCTGGCGTAACCAGAACGTGCGCACGGGAAATGACGGGATATTCAATCATGGCAAATGGGCACCCTTCTCCAAGAACCCACTGACCATCCACGAGCCCAAGAAGAACGACGGGTCCAAGATGCACAGGGCACCACTGCGCACGATCGACGCACAATACCCCGGGGAGTCCGACAGCGCCTTCGCCTCCAGGATGCAGAGGGAACTAGGCAGCATATTCAGCGACCTGCGGGTTGCACACTGTGCCAAAACCTGCCCCACTAACGCCCAGCCGTCTTTCGACCCAGCACTGCAGCCGTCAGGCGCGTGCCGAAATTTCATCCACGC